GGTCAAGCGATACCACTTCTCCATATTTCTTGCTATAAAGTCACATTCATTAACGGCATTTCAAACCATAAATAACTTCGTTAACCAGAATGCTTGCACTCAATTACAGAAGTAAGTGCAAAGAGTTATTACCCTTGTAGATAAAAGAATCCAAATCTGGGATGGTGTCTCAAGGTCACAGTCTCAGATGACCATGCACATGAGCATATGGTGCTAATCATTAAAGTTGTCAATAGATTAATCTGTACTACCTGGTAGAGAACTCCTATGACAGCTGTGCTCCTTCAAACTACAGATCTATAAACATTAAAGGAAAGAATAATGAGAAGTGGGATTAGGGCTTTTCCATGCCCTGTGTCTTTTCAATATATTTCCTCAAGAGATCAGACTGACTATGGATCTCAGTGGATCCAGGTGCAAAGTACCACACCTGTCTTCACTATATATAGGTCACAACAGTAATTAAAACAGGATTGAAAACCACCTAACAACTTTGTTATTGGATGAATGGGGACATTTACTCAATCCAATATCAACTACTGTTTACCTGTTAGCCTCTGGTACTGAGATATCACCAAAATGAGTACAGTGCAGAGGTTTCACTTGTCGTTCCTAATGTACCGACAAAAATCTCTACAACAGTAAACCATATAGTTGTGTTCAGAATGTTTTACACATCTTCCCAAAAAGATAATAAAGATCAATCATCCCCATTACAAATGCTTTATTTTTAAGAAGGAAGTTTTCATGTAACGTTTTAATGATCTCAATACAGTAGATCTTCAGTTTTAAATCACTGGATAATATGCAATTATCTCAAGCTGGATTCTGATTTTAAAAAAAAGGCTTTAATTAGCTCCTCATATTATGCTGCTATAATCCTTTCTTCAATTCCCATGAGCATTACTATTGCTAAGCAGCATGAGGTTAGGAATGATGGATGATACCCAGAAAGGAAGACAAACAAAAGGGAAATTCAAAATCCCCCGAGATCACCCGCAGCTGTATCGGCAAATGAAGATTTCCACATTAGGTCACAAGGAGACCCTTATAGAAACATGTACTCAAAAAGGCATTCAAGTCTTTAATATACTATATAGATGATGCCCTTCACAAAGGATAAAAAACAAGAAAAGTAAAATAAAAATTAATCTTTCCTTGATGTTCCCAGGAAAACAGCAACACTGGTTTCCAGCTTACCAAAAATTTAAAAAAAAGGACAGACATCACAGTCTGATGTAATACTGATGCTCATTAAGAAAAGCTCCCAAACAGTCCAAGCAAAGTTACTACAGAAGTCGTGTATGATACAAGTGTTCAAAACACTCACTTGTATACCCTTCCCTAATGCATGTGGCAACCATCCAGTTCCAACCCAGCTCTGACCATCAATAATGCAACTAAATAAGGGCAAGATTCACCAAGAGAAAATGCTGATGCAGTTGGGTGACATTAATTTGTTTTTTTTTCCATGTGAATTAGTCCATGCTTTTGACACATAAATCATTAAAAAGGCAGATTTACCCAAGGGCATTAGACCAGTTAGGTGGAAAGACACATGCAGAAAATGTAGAGGGCATGCTGATATTATTTTTGACCATCTACAGGTACCATCTGTGTTCAAAACTTATTCAATGGAAGTTTCACAATGCTTTCTTGATTACCTGAGCAACGCTAGAAGCTCACAAACACAATGTACAGAAGAACGTAAGGTTATATTTTGATATCAACATCATTTCTTGCAAATACTTAAATGAAACCTGACAAAGGTGTGCTTGGCCCTTTTTTGGTTTATTTTTTAAGAGATAAGAGTGTGTGTGTGTAGGTTATCTATATCTCTCTTTATATAGATATCTATACGTGCACACACACTAATGTACCACAAAGAGAAGTCTTGAAAGCTTTTTATTTCAAGTTTTGTTTTACTTAACTTTTACAATTAGAAATCAAGCACATAAAATCTTGCCTTCCATGGCGTTGCTGGAAAAAGCCTTGTGGGGGGGGAAAAAATGCACTGGGGAATTGGAGTTGGTGCTTTTTCAGACCTCGGGCAAAGGGGCAAAGTTGGACATTGTACAAATGCATCCGTTTTTACCAACTGTTTGTCAGGGGTTTGAGTTGAAAAAAGTGCTAACAAAAGAAACCAGTCAAAACAAACGTAAGGAAAGGTATTTTGTGCCTGCAAGCTTGTCAAAAAATCTCTCTCGACTATGCAGTTGTTTCAGTGAAAGATATAAAAGATATCACCTGCAAAAATCTTTGCCTCACATCCTTTTTGGCACACCAAAGGAAAGTATAGTCCCTTGTTCTAGGCTTTCATATCCTTAGTAGTTTCACCAAGAATTAACAAATAGACAAGATATTACCACTGAATTCTAACAGAAACAATTACATTATTTTTTCCCCCAATCATTACAAAGAAGCAACAAAAGGGGTTGAATCCATGTTTCCCCTCGTTTGTCTTAAGGAACAAATAAAGGATGACCATCAATAATATGCTCCATTCAGCTAATAACAATTTAACATGTTACAAAACATAAGCTCAAGGGCAGTAACCAACAGACTGGAAGGGGGGTGCGGGGGTGCAAGGGAGCAGAACAGAATATCACACTAGCACATCTGAACTTCCTGAAGGAAATAACTGTTAGCTAGTAGCCATCCTCCTGGGAACCTATAAGGTGGTCAGACTGCAACACTGTAGATCTGTCTTTCAACCCTTGTCTAATTACCGTTAGAGAACAGTACATTGATTAATAATGAAAATAGAGCCGTTCACCCTCCCCTCCCATTTGAAACTCCTCCAAGTTTTAAGTGACTTTATAGAATGCATTTATATTTTCTATTTTCTTTAATATTTTTTAAAATACTTTAAAAATATTTACAAAAACAGAACAGTGACTACTATATGTTAGAGGAACGTTATATAGGGTTACTGTATTTCCAGTTCCAAAAAAGACGACACCTGTCGGGGGGGACACCTCACTCCCAAAGCATAGCTCCCTGGCACTGCTAATGTCCCTCACTGCCAACTGGCAGCCCCCCAACCCTGCTGCTGCCCCTCACTCCTGACCCACAGTCCCCCTCACCTCCCCAGGCCATGCTGTTGCCCCTCACTCCTGACCCGCAGCCCCCTGTCTTAGCTGTTGCCCCTCACTCCTGACCTGCAACCCCTTGGCATTGCCAGTGCCCCACACTTCTAGCCTGCAAGCCCCCTGTCCCTCCCGGCACCTCACTACCAAGCCACAGCACCCCCAGCCAGACTGGACCAGAGTGCGGCGACTCAGATTTGTACAGAAGGCACTGGAGTGAGTCCAGCCCAGCACATACAGGAAGGAATAGGAGGGGAGGCCTGCGGCACGCCCCACCCTGGGCTGGGGCTCCCACACCACGCCAGGCAGTCTGGCCATGCTCCCCCTCCACAGAGGTAGCGTCTCCTGGCTGCTCTGCCCCTGCAAGCACAGACACCAGACCCTGTGCTGCTGGCCCTGCCATGGAGCCTCCCACTGCCAACGGGCCCCCTCCACCTCCTTCCCCTGCTGGAAGGGCAGGCACCCCCACCCTGCTCCCACTGCCCTGCGGCAGCCCCAGTCCCTGCTCCCCACACACTTACCTGCAACTAGCTGCTGAGCCTGGTCCCACCCACCTGCCTGGCTGCATGCCGGCCAAGCGTGCGCATGCACACAGATGCATATGATGCCCCTGCCTCCAGTCGCCCTCCTCCTGCTCCCACCAGCAAAGCAGAGCAAAATCCCAGACATTTGTTCAAATTAAAAAAAACACCACCTGGACGGAGATTGGAGGGCCCAAAAAGAGGACATGTCTGGGAAAACTCAGACGTATGGTAACCCTAATATTATAGAAAAACCAGCCATTGCACATTTTAATGTAAAACAGCATAAAAACCCCCTCAGGAAGTTTACGTGTTCCCTAAATGCTTGCACATAAGAAACAATAGTCCTGTGACTGCACAGAATGTCTCCAATTTTACTTAAGAAGGAGGTTTTACCTTCATATTTGGTTTCAATGGAAGCATTTTATCTTTATACATTCAACACTTATTGTTTTCTTCACAGGAAAACAGGCTGAAAATGAGGAAGAAACCCGCTTACAGTGAGATATTCTAGGTTGTGAAATCATTTCTCAGAGAAAATGGTGAAAACCTCATTATTGGGGACATTTAGCCTAAACTGAGCAATTTATAAGAAAAAAGTCCTGTCCTGGAACAGCCAGGTGTAAACAGGATGACCGTAGGTCCTTCCTTTCCATTTCAGACTGCTGAACTCTCAAACATATAGCACCTGAGAGATCATCGTAGAAAACTCCACATCACAAATGTTATTAATCCAAAACATGGTATAAATGGCTTCCATCAGTTAACTGTATCACTGGTTAAACCACATGTGTGGGCAGAGTTTGGTATCTAACAGCAGGAACCCAGCTGTTTTATATTTGGGCTTCCTCCTGCACTGTACTCATCTTCATAAAACCTTTAAACAATTCCTTTACATGAGCACTCTTCACTCATATTTGCCTAGTTTGCTTTTAAGAAAAGGAAGGGTTGAGAATCTCCATATTTAGCAAACTTTGAAAAATAAATGCATAATGTGGTCTCTTCTCAAACTACAAATAAGAAAAGCAGATATAGAACAAATGAGCATAGAAAAAATATGCCAAAAATAAAGCAGCCAGGGTATGTAGATCACATTACAAATGAAAGGCTTCTGTTTTACAGCCATTGTCACATGTCAAACTGATAATCTGAACTTTGGCAAAAAATACAGAGCCAATGATCTCTTAGATCAGATATAGTTTCCTAGCCTAATATATTTTGCTAAATATATTTTGCACTTTTCAAACCTACCATAGCAACAAGGAAGGAAGAAATTGATTCTTAAAAAATTACTGCTCCTGGATGACACAACACAGTCCTCTAGGCAGTAGAAATGTAACATGACTGGTTGCAAACGCATTCATTGTACCTTTTGAAATCAGCTGCTTACCTGAGCTTGCACATCCCTGCTGTAGGGAATCCTGCAACGATGTTACGGAGTGGAGGACTAGACGAGAGAAAAGTAAAATCAAGGAACAATACAGGAGACCACCAATGACCTAAAACAACTACTATAAAACATTAAATAGGCTAAACAATTAGCCAAATGCTAACCTCAGTTTACAGCCATGTAAGTCGGCAGTGTTATATAGGTGTAACTGAAGGCAAAATGTGGTCTGGTATTACTCTAATCCATCACTACATACTATGCACCTTAAAGCAACTCTGAAAAAGCAATGGTAAAAACCAGAATCACAACTCATCATTTCCCTTTTTAACCTTACTTCTTTTTTATTGGTTAAAAAAATTAATTGCTCAGAGAACTTCAGAAATAGTCTCTTCAGTAATAAGCCCTATTAAAATGCAACTCAATTCAACTTTTCCATGGCTTTTCAGTGTTTTATCCAAAGTCACTTGAATTGTACCCTGTATTTTTGTAAAAACACTATCATCTTAATGCTAAAATTCACTGAGTTCCACTTACAGACTGAGAAGAATCTAATCCCTCTGACGTAAAATCCCAGATAGTCCCTTAACAAAAGGTTTTGAAGTCAAGGAGAAGTGGACAGCTCTACTTACACAAATGGCAGAGTGAACACAGGAAAAAACAATCTTGCTTTGTACAACTTTACAAAGAATTCCTCCTCCTCAACTCAAACAACAGGGTGGAATTTTAATTACCTTGTCCTTGTTGTTGCCCTTGTGCAGGGAGGACGCACTGTCCCAGCTCACCATTCAGCCAGAGCTGCATGCGAATAAATGGTTCTCGGCCTTTTTGCGTCAATTTACTCCATGGCTTTGGCCTAGATAGCATGTCGCTGACACTCCCTTGAGATAAGCCTAATACCTGGAGCGATACAACCACGAACAGTATATTAACATATTTGGTTTAGGTGTGTGTAGCTTTTGCAATACATTTATTTCTTGTATAATGCACATGTCAGTTATATATTAATCTTAAAAGAATGTACACAAATAGAATCAAAATGCACAACATATTTACTCAAATCTAAGATTACTCTGAATACAAGATGACCACTCAATAAACAGATTCTATAAATGGAAAATTTATGAAATCTGTTATATTTTTCTGTGCATAGAATCTAACTATTGGAGGGTTGCTGCAGGGGGGGCAGACAGTGTGTGTGTGGGGGGGAGGAGGACGTGGGGGGTAGAGATCAAGCAGCTTGCCCCTTGCTTGTGCCTGCCCCCCTGCAGGCTTGCCTCCCCTTCCCCCTTCATCTGTGTTCCCCCTTCTACCCCTCCCCGCCAGCCTCATCCTTCCCCTCCGTCCCACAGCTCCTCCTCTCCCATTTCACCATACAGCCTCTGCTTCCCTACTTTCCCCCAGCCTCTGCTTCCCCACTTTCCCCAACCCCTTACTGTTCTGTTTTGCAAGGGTCCATTCCCGCTCTAGCTTGAGGCACTGAGTGTGGGCTCAGCTGGGGCCATGCTCAGTGCCCTGGGCTGCAGCATGGGCAAAGCTTGCTGGGGTAGAGCCCAGATAAGGGGGCAGAAAGAGGGGCGAGTGGAAAAGCAGAGACTGTGGGGGGGGGTGAGGTGGGAGAAAGAGAGGCTGCAGGGGAGAAGTGGCAGAGTGCAGGCAACAGCTGTGGCTATGGCCCTGACTCCAGGTAAGGGCTGAAGACCAAGACACAGCAGCGCCCCCAAACAATTCCAAGATGAAGGGCTCACCTCCCCTGTTAGAATGGACAAAATGCCTCATCTTAGAATCAAGTAAATATGGTATTATATAATACAAAATATGTACTTTGTAATTCAACTGAAATGCTTTTCTCCATCAAACATAAGTTTAGGAGCATGTGTTCTTTCTGCAAGAGGTCACTGGGAACACCAAAAGGATGCTACAGAGCTGCATGCTTCAGTATTTTGTGCAATTTAAAGTCACCAATTCTAGCAAGAGAAATCCAGAGACCCAGTCTTAAGCTGGTAAGTTTTTAGGAAATGGTTTTCATGGTTTAAAAAAAATTTTACAAAGATATTTGGAACCTTTTTAGGTTTACTATCACAGTCTGTTAATCAGTCTTTACATTTCAACTAATGTAACATTTCAGACTATGGAATTAGCATCCACTCTTTAATAAAAGGTGCCAAGGAATCTTTATCAACTCCCTTCCCCCCCTCCACCCAAATTAAATTTTAGATAGTACCTAGAGTCACATTTTCATGCTGGGAGGTTAGCTCAATACTGAACCAGATAGATTAATGGCACTTGCTAAATCACCAACACGTTATCCTACAGCCTGCTAGGTGCTTCTTGGTAATTTCCATCCAAATAATGGCCCGTTCTAATCCTACTCATCTGTTTACATGTACAGGGATCAGAATCCAAAGCACTGTGGCTTCAGAATGCCAAATAATACAATGTATATCTGCCTCATCAGAAAAGTACTAAAGTACGCAGGGGGGCTGGACACATACTGGATGAATAGTGACTGTACTCAAAATTCTTATCTAAATTTAGGATCATAAAGCAGAAGGATTTTTTTAAATCCTTTATATGGGGACAAGGATAGCTACCAAATAGTCCATGAGTTCATTGCACTAAATATTGTACCTTAATATGTCAGCCAACTTAAAATGATTATGGCTCAGGAGAAATTAGCTTTGTGTTGTTACCATTGAAGACATCTTTTTGTACAAAAGCAACAAGCTAGACAATCTCTGCAATTTCAGAGTTTGACAACTCATACTTTTCATTTATAAATCCATATTTTTGAATACCGAATATGCAAAATGTTGCTGTCTAATATACTATTCCTGTACATATTCCTAATTCTGTGCATTCAAAAACAACTGAAAAACAGAGCATTGCATGTTTAAAATGTCAGTATAATGAAGAAAAATCACTTCTTTACCTTTTCCCCAAAGATCCTTTGGCAGATGCCATTCTTTGCTAGCTTTTCTTTGACCTGACGAGTTAGCTCTATTGTATCCACTTCCTGGTACATGTAAATCTCATACTGCTCGGGCGTCAGTGGAGGAACTGAGGGTTTGGATGGCTTTGACAAAGGTACAATAGGTGAAGAAGGGAGGGGGCTGTTTTGTGGTGTCTCGCTGCGACTTACTCCAGTCATGCTCAATTCAGAGCTCTGAGAGTATGGAGATTCAGCGTTTGGCCACTCTTTCCAGTATTCTGAAGAGGATGGTCCTTGGAGCTGACTACGGTCTGGCCTAGCCTGGTTGCTGACCTTTTCTTTTCCACTGCTGACTTCCTCAGCTTTTGTATCTTCAGGAAGAGCTGCATTTCTTCTGTCATGCTGAACAGTATTCCACCAATGGTCCTTCCAAACACCACCGCGTCCCAATTCATTTTTAACGTGCCTCAGCATACCTTGTGCAGGATCAGTTACTCCATGAAGCTCTAAAACTGGTGTCTCTGGGGGCTCCTTTTTTAGCCCAGAGAGGTTCTGCAATGCAGAGATACTAGAATCCGTAACAGATGAATGTTTCTTCAGAGACATGGCCAGTGAAGGGTAACTGGAAACTGAAGACATTGCAGGTGTAGATACCAGTTTAGGGGACAAAATGGAAATGTCAGCTTGAGACAAAGGCGGTGTTTTTAAGGCAGGTTCGAGGGCAGCCTGCTGTGCCTCCATTTCACGTCGGGCTTGCTGCAGAATGGACCGAATGGCATCATCAGAATTCCCACTGCTAGTTGCAGAAGGTGGCTGAGCCGGCTCAGCTATGAAAATCAAACCAAAAATGGAATCAACATAAGAAAGTATATTCTTCTCAGTTCAATGACACTGTAAACGTTTCCTGAAAAGCTGCAAGAGGACCAAGGGGCTGCAATACATTCCTATATATTTAAAACTTGATTTTCAATGACTGAACAAAGCAACATTTTCAAAACTACTTATTAGAAAGCATGTACACAGGTGTGAACAGACATCCCAAATACAGGCATACCTCGGAGATATTGCGGGTTCGGTTCCAGACCACCGCAATAAAGCGAATATCGCAATAAAGTGAGTCACACGAATTTTTTGGTTTCCCAGTGCATATAAAAGTTATGTTTACACTATACTGTAGTCTATTAAGTGTGCAATAGCATTATGTCTAAAAAAACAATGTACATACCTTAATTAAAAAATACTTTATTGCTAAAAAATGCTAACCATCATCATGGCACCAATGGAAAAATGGCACCGATAGACTTGCTCGACGCAGGGTTGCCACAAACCTCCAATTTGTCAAAAACGCAATATCTGCGACGCGCAATAAAGCGAAGCGCAATAAAACGAGGTATGCCTGTATATTAAGGTGTGATGAACATTTGTAGATATCTAGCTCCACTGAACAATTTTAAGGTCTCAGTAACGGGTACTCTCTCTCCCACAAACAAATTATATCAAACAGAAGTAAAACCCAGGGCATCTGGGTATATCAATAATGCTTTATTTCAGAGAGAGTGCAGAGTTTTGGTATCATACACAACGTTAAACATTTTCAAAGACTTTCACAAAAGACTTTGTTTTTATTTTGCCAAATTACTTGGTATGGTTCTGACTCTCTTTTTCTTATTATGTACTCCAGAATTAAATAGCTCTAAAAGCACTAATTTTTTAAAATTCTATAATTAAAAAAAAATCCTAACACAAATGGTTTGGCCATAACCCTTTCCATTGCCATGCGATATCTTAGTCCTACTCCTTCAGATACTGCAATCACCCTAGTTTAATTTCAAAACTAAATATCTTAAGTATTAAAGGAACATCTATTTCTTTAAAAAAAGGAAATTTAATGCATTGCTCTTTCCAGTCAGTTAGTTCCTTAAGCAGAACTCAGAAGTTGTAAAGAGCTGTGAATTCAGGGAAAATTGCACCACAGCATCAAGAAATGCCTTTTGCATGGTTACAATCATTTTCTAAAGCTTTTTAAAACAACAGAAGATTAAAAGCTACCTCAGTCCAACCTCAACCCGCTAAACGTTGGAAAGTGCATTTCATAGTAACCTTCTCTCATGAGCAAGGCAGGAATAAGGAAAGGAACTGTGACCTTCCTTACAGGTATGGTCTAGCCCTAAGTATATAAAGTTAAACATAGTATAGTTTATATACACAAGCATTGCCTCACTCAAAAGACACAGCTCCGCAAAAGTACATTCAGTATTTTAAGAACATAATTAACTGACCGGAAACCTCATGATAATTAAGTCCAGAAGTAAAAGGAACGGGCAGCAAAGTAAGTCCATACCTGTTTTCTGTACTTGCAGCTCCCTTTTGGCTTGTTCTAGAATGGATTTGATGGCTTCGTCAGAGCCACTCTCTGTTGTTCGAATTCTTGTTGTGATGTTACCTGAAGAGAAAAATGAAACTAAAGATCTTAAGCAATTTTTTTTTGCAAATATGGAGTGTACATACTTATTAAATAGCATCGGTAAATTCATAGTGATAAAAGATTGGAGAGGTGTTTGTAAGCACAACGGGAAGATTTTAAGATTTATCACTTATTGTACTGGTACCTCATTTCATAATTAAAAAACCCTTGTATTTTCTTACACAGATATGGTACGGGTCCCTCACAACAATAAGAATTTTTAACATATGCCCAAACCATGGAAGAAAGCCATGTACTTAACTTTGTGTTACCCAAGTTGTTCTAAGCAACAAGACTTTTAAGAAGTGTTTAATCTCTTCAAATTGTTTCTCCTCATTTTGAAGTTAAAAAATGTGATAACATGTACCATTTTTAAAAGATTGTATCAGCTGGTTAGGCCTCAACCAAATCAGAATACATCATACATTTATCCCCGATGGGAATCTAACATAGAGAACATTGGGCATAGCAAAGGAAGTGATATTTACCCTATTTTAATTACCTCTTGAGTATGTCTGTACAATAAGACAGACATATATTTAAGCTTGAATACCCCAACAATTAGGTCTTATTATTTTTTAAAGAAAGGTAAAAATGAAGCAAAATACTTCATATTTTATGATTCTGAAAGCTATTTCAGTTCCACATACTTTTTTATAATATTACAATTTGTTAGCTATCCACATGCACATCATTAACTGGAACTGTATACTTTCCAGCTAGGAGCAAATCGTCTGTGTGGTTTTGGGGAGATTTTCCTTTGAGTTTCCTCTTTTACCAGTCTTGTTAAAAGGAAAACGCTGGAATTGGTTTAAAACCATGTAAAATGTTTAAGCTTAAATAGCATGTTTTGGTCCTTCAACAAGAACTGTGCTAACCTTTGCTGTATCTTGCTATGACAGATGAAAAAAACTGAACAGAGAGGAGTTCCGCACTATTTTAACAGCCATCTACTGCATATTTGTCAACATGTTATACTTCATTCTCCTGTGATTTTGAGTAAATTTCATTTAACCCACAGTCAAGACAGTAGGCTATTTATTGATAGCATAAGGTATACTTAATATTGTGTCCTATCCTTGCTCAGAAATGACAAAAAAAGAATAGCAAAGGTGGTATTTAGGTAATTCCGATGACCCAGAGTTTGTAATATCACTTCTATCACTTATCTCTTTTTATATACATGCACATTTAGGTAGGGTGTGAAGGAAGTATCCAAACAGGTTAAGTTAGTACAGTAGCAGTGGAATTAGAAAAAAAGTGAAGTGTTCCTTGAACCCATGGTTTGTTTTATACTTACTGTCTGTTTTTCCATCAGATTCCAGGCCAGAATCAAACTGCACAATTTTAAGGCAACACACAGCTTAAATACAATCCACTTCCTAGATATTGACTGCAAAGAAAAACACCTGCCTGTGACGTACCTTCAGACCCATTTCTTCGTTTCGGTACTTCCTGAAATAGTCTGTTCAGGTTCTGGCCTGGATTCTCTGTTGAAAAACAAGTTTGGTAAGAACAAAACAATCAGGGGATGATTTGTTCTGACATCATGGGCTGTGTGACATGAAAAGACAGCAGCAGCCTGTCTCTAAATACAAGGTTCAAACTCTGAATCTTGGTCTGAGCACTAGAGGAGCTGGCTATTTTGAAAGCAGCAAGGCTGGCTGATTTGTTAATAAAGATTACAGCTACATTCAGAAAGGAGATTAGACAGATATAAATAAATGTCTAAAGATACCAAAAATGAAGAGGTTAAAGATGGGCAGACAACTCTCCAAGTACAACCATCAAAAGGAAGAACAGATTATAAATCTGACAATGTTCATTTTCAATTAAACGACGTTTATGAAAATCCTGCCTGTTCCTTCAAACATTTTTAGTTTTAAACAACTTTCCTTTCATATTTTTAAATGTGAATCTCAGTCTTTATTTAAAATGAATCAAAATGAAATGCAAGTGTGTGTGTGTATTGCTTCTTAAAATCATCTATTTAAATATGAAAAGCTGCTTTAAATTTGCATTTGTTATTTTTTTTCCTTTTTTGTTGATATTGTGATCTCATCATCTGCTTTTTCAAGCCACACTGGAAAAATTGCTCCGAATAGTTAATAGCAAAACAAACGTCTATTGTCAGTATACAACCCCAAATATGCAAGGTACTTCTAGTGACCAATATTCTTAGAAACTACTGAATTTATCCATCTAATGTTTCATTCTGATACAGAGGGCAATATACCATATTTTATCACATATAACACACTTTCCTGCACAAATTCAGTCCCCCAAAAATTGGATGCGTATATTAAGTGGGGAAGCTGATATTTTGCCATGTATAGAAGCATCCTTCCTTGATTCCTGCTCCACAGTGCAGCTACACTATTATTCAGGCACGTTAGGGAGTCCACTAACTTAATGGTACATTGTTCTTCATTCCACATGTGTCAATGATTGTCTCTCCTCTTAATACAGCTAACCTTTCTTAGGGCCATTTTCCTGCCCACTAACTGCTCCTGTTAGCCTAAGCAAGAAAAGAAGAGTGATACAGCTGAAGATTAAACTTTGTTCCTGTACTATGCAGTCATAACTCTGAAACATCTTTTTTCCTTCATTCTGTCTTCAGAAACAACGTGTGCATTATGTTCCAAGGCATGTTGTATGCAAGAAAATATGGTATATACCCATTCCTCATTCTTTTAAACAACAATTACTTAAGCAGAGTAGATAAAGAAAATCTGTGCTTCTCAGAATGTTAAACCTACTATACAGTATTACTTCTGGAAAATGCTGTAATCAGAAAAATAGATTTAGAAAAGTCATGCTTTGTAAGAGTACATTTTACACTGTAGCTCTGTAAAACCTAGGTGAATAATGATAATGTTGTATAAATAGCCTTATAAGATGAACACTTTTAAAAGGTTTGCATATGCATAGCCCAGTCAGGACAAACTCAAAACCAAGTCAGTAAAGGTTCTTACCTCTCTGTCTACCCTGGATGCTGCGTAGTGCCAGGATGTTCTGCTCATCGGAGAGGAATTGCTTCATCTTGTGAAACGGCTCCTTGCCTCTCACAGTCAGTTTATTCCATGGCTTTGGCCTGGCTAGTATCTCGCTCACAGACCCTTGTGACAGTCCCAAGACATAATGTCCAAATATTCGCTGTCCAATATTGTGCTTGATCAATTGCTCTTTCACCTGACGTGCAATTTCAGCTGTGTCTATCTCCTCGCCTTCAGAGATGCTCCCAGCACTTTCTGACTGGCTGGGAGATGGAGCCATACCATTTACATCTGGAGTCTGTTGTAATGGACTTTGGGAAGATATGGAGTTTGTGCTGTAAGGACCTGTTGAAAAAATCATGCTTGTGCTTCCTGCTTCCTGCATTGCCTTGGAGTAGAAGGACTGCATTAGCTGTCGTTGGAGGAGAGAATTTAGTGCAAATTTTCCCGTGGAGGCCAGGGGTAAGCTGGGGCTTGCCAAGGTTGAGCTGAAAAAGTCTTGACTTAAACCCGTTGGTGAGAACTGGTGTGTACCATTAGTATTGGAAGCCTGCTCCCCCGTGTTGCGGAGCAACTGAGAAGGAGGGGAGGCCGGCAAGGTTGCAGGACGCTGACTCTCAGGCTGGTCTTTCCCTTTTCTCCTGGCTGACCCTACAAGGAAGGTCAAACATAATGCATTATGGGGGATTAAAAAGGGAAAAACCAAGAAAAAAATGCAAAGTTTGCCCCACAAAGGGAAGAAGTGCAGATTTACAAGGGCCAATGAGGTTGTAGTAATATTGTTTTGTTTTGTTTTTTATAATTTAAATTTAATAAGCCAAAGGCGGCCCCCAAAACAAACAACATGCATTTCATGTTTGCACCTTTCTTGTATGTTGCAGCCTGGAGAATCCCCCTTACAAACATTAAAACAATTACATGAAGTGCATATATACATTTAAAATAGACTGTTACAGACAAATCTCTTCGATGTCACACAATCAAGACATTGTTTTATGGACCTGGAGGAACCCAAATGCAGCAAACATTTACATTTTGGAACCAACTAATGGGATTAAAGAAATCACCTTTAAGCAGATGCAACAGATCACTCAAAGTCACAAACGTTTCAGAATGCAGTAACCCCAACGCCAGTTGCAACTTTTAATTTTCTACCAGCTGCAAAAACCTTAAGCACTGTAGCATATGGAAATTCCATGATTCCGCCATTTAAAAAAGTGTACACAGAAAAAGCCCATGTTAGAAAAGGTAAAGGCAAAGACACTTCACTGAAAAGAAGTTGTATAAAAAAAAGTGTGTGCGCATGCGCACATACATGCATGTAAAAATGGCTTCTGGCACTACTTTTGGACTGGTTATACCAAAACAGAAAATAGCTTTGAATACTACCATTTGGTACATCTTATAATGCCGCTCTTTTCTAACCTTTAGCACGTCTCTTAGGTCCCCAAGACTTATATTATTATCCAGCCTATAAAGCAGCAAAATCAAACATTATTCAAGGTTCTTTTTGTCCATTAATCTTTCTGTCATGTACTAACTTGGGCTCTCCTCTCACGTTCGCTTTTCTTTTCCCCCAGATAATAAGCAACGTATCATAGCTGAAAATCACATCAACCTACCACTCAGGTCACTATTAGTGATACGCAGCGTGGCATTCTCAGACTGCAATGAGCGGTTCTTCTCCAGCAGCAACACCTCCAGTGGTTTTGATGCATCCTAAAGAAAGTCAGAATGTGAGGATGGTTTTCATCATTAGCCAGAGAAGCCGCTTAAGGGGTCATTCAGATACTAAGAAATAATTCAGGAGATGGAAGCGAATACTTGCCTTTGCTATGACTGAGGCTACAAAATTCATCATCCATAAGTTTATGTGAATGTTTAGACTCCACTGTGTGCTACTAAATTATCTCATTTAATTTTCAATATAAATCATTAATCAACTCTTATGACTGTTTCATTAATTATTTTATTAATTCCAGTTATTTAATAATGCTATTAAAGTTTCCATAAATTGAAGACCTCTTTTCATTTGACTGAAATACTAGTTATGGCTATATTTTTTTTGTTTCCCACACCAATACAATCCCTTGGCATAAAGCACTTATTTGAAATGCTGTTTCTCAATGCAAACAGACAGTATGATCAAAAATCCAGTCACAGAAACTGACCATTTACCTTCCACTAAATATCTAACCTGTCATCATCAAAAAGCATATTAAAAAGTAATCCTTTTTATGCTCGTCATATTGACATTCATTTTGGACCTCAGAAGCAAGAATCCAATTCATAACCTTTGATCTTAAGTGAGATTAACATTCTGGAATATTAGAGTTTGTACTTTTTTCTTGGTGCTCAAAGGGTTGGTTGTTTTCTTTTGTGAGCAGTATATTTAAGGCTCTTCAACATTAAAAAATGCTGAAATTCTTGTCCAGTTGATTAGCATTTCAATAAATATGCAAGTAATGTTTCAGTTTACTTGTTAACCAATGCTAATGTCTTAAAAAGACCGTACAATATTCAGGTTATTCACTTAAACAACAGCCAAAATGTCATTCTTTGTCCTTGATCACGGGAAAGTAACAGTAACAGGCAAAAAAAATTATGTAACAGGAAAAAAAAATTTCAATCCAACTTTTATAGAAGAGACTCAAGAAACCAATGATCAAGCTGTATACCTCAGTATCTCAGGGATGCTTAAGAGCCTGAAGGATACAGATCAATAGGAAATTGTTCATTCTTATTTCAAATTAATTGTAACATAAACATTTTATTAATGGATACATGCAGAATATAAAACAAAAGTAGATTCAATACCTGTGCACCAGAGCCCTCAGTTGGTGCAAACTCCATGGACTTCAAAATACTGTGAAAGGTGAGAAAAATGAGTTATTTTCTATTTCTTCTTTTCATAACAGCTCTGTTAATAAGCATTAACATTATAATTTCCTACTCTCCAGGAAACCATAAGTGATAACTTTAACAACTTTCCTTGCAGTAATATAATCTGATAATGAATATAGAATAACCATTCAAACTAGTTATTGGATAAGAACATTTTCTCAAGCGTCATCTAAATCATTCTATATGCAACCCCACCAGGCCAGTTTAGAGCATAAATTTAAAAGGTTAATAAGGATATAACATTTTAAGCTGTCAGAAATGATATAAATTTATCTGGGAAGCTTGCAGGGAATGAAAAAGTTATAACAAAGCAGGGGAATCACCATCAGAGTTAGAATATTGTATATAAAATATACCAGCTCGCCTATCAAGGAAAATATGCACAAATTATTTCCCTGACCAATGCACTACAGGCTAAAAGACAGTTCTTCATTTTAATAACCTCCTATTCTACAGCACAGGGAAGAGAGACCTGCTCAATATTTCTTAAGATATATGAAAGATCCAAAAATGTATATATTAAGAGAAGAATTTAATAGTTTTCTTCTCCATATTTTACTAAACTACTTAACAACCACAGAATCCCTTCCTCCTAACTAAAGCCTTTAGGGTTGGTTTTACATTTTCTGTCATCTTAAAAATACATGAGAATGAAAACATACTGCTGTGCTCTACCTTTTATAATAATTTTAAGAGGTCTATACATGGGGATTTAAGGTTACTAGGATTGTGACAGTTACAGTATATAGAGGACACATTCATTTGTTACAGAAAAATACATAAATAGTACTGTTTAACCTTTATAGAGCCCTTTTGATGTATAAAGCAAATTAGAAAGATTTAATCTTTATAAGGTCTCTGAGAATTAAGGGAGAATAATCATTCTCATTTTACGAAGGGGAAACCCAAGTCACAGAAAATTTAAGACTAGTATTTCCATATTATCTGTTAATTTTGTAAGAATCTTAACACGACTAGAGCCTCACTTTAATTTGCTATTACTGGAACTGAGTGGGCGTTCAGTATGTCTGAAAAATCAGGCTGTAGGTATCTACATTTAGACACTCAGAATCACACACACCTAAAGTTAATGGATGCTTTAAAAAAATGCAGTCTTGGTGACTCATCAACGGTCAAAAAGGTCTCTTGGAAATTTAGCAAAAGACCTACTTGACTAAGAATTTCAATTCTGATACAAAGGGAGCAGAACTTGCCAATAATGCTGCTCAGTTTCTTTTCCTCGTTCTCAGCTAGGACTAAATGTGAACTAGAGCCCTTTGATTCTTAGCAGCGACTACAATGAGTAAATCTGCAGCAGAGTGCATACTTGAATATTCAAACCTTGCTTGGGGAATTTGGTAGACCCCATTCACTTTTTTGCATCCTACAACAGAGCCAGAAACTGGCATCAGCTCACCCTTGGCAGTGTGAAGTAGGCCTTCAAGCACTTAAAGTTAACATTTCCTACAAACATAAAGCTAAGAAAACATAAAGCTAAGCAAAGTGGTCTTAAACTACGACTGCAGAAACTTCCAGTATGGCAGCTGTCCTTTGCTTCAATGTAAACAATTGGAGACACAAAAATGAGACAACTTCTCCTCTGGAGATGTAAAAGATATTTGTCCACTTCAGACCCCCAAAATTTACAACCATGACATCTAAGGGCTTATCCTGCTCCAAAAACTGGCAACCAGTCTTGATGAGAGAATGATCCTGGTGAGATTGGAGGGACTGAGAAAATGTCTCTTCTGAATACCTGAGAGCAGAGCCCAATTACACAAGGGGGAAACTCAAAGACCAGTGGATATTTCTGTACATCCAGGCCCTTGGATCTGAAGGGTGTCAGGGTGGGTCTCATAGCTTATCTGGCACTGAGATCAACATTGGTAGCCTGCAGGTCTAACACAGCGAGAGGAAGAAGACAGTAAGCTTTCCTGCCTTAGATTGGAGAGCTAATCCAATTCAGTTCCTTATGGAGAAACAGGCTAAGGGGCACAAGAAAAGGGTCTATCAAACTAATGAGTCTAAGGTGCAATGCCAAAGAAACCAGAGAAAATTATGCTCAGCCAAGCCAGTACTCATTTGGTTCACCAAGACCCTTCCCTATTCTTCCTATACTCAGATTAAAAAGAAAGTTCTAGTGGCTGCTTCTTTCTGGCAGTGTTTTAAAGCTGAAAAAAGGGGTATGGGAGATCATTTGGCACTCCTTATTCATACAGATTTGCTTCATTAGGAAGCTGTGTAATCTTTCTTTATAAGGAGACAATGTCAGCAGGTGAAACACAAGCTGATGAAACCAGAGGTGGTGGCATACTGATTCATTTCAAAGGCCTCTTAGATCTGATTCTTCCTTGTGAGATATGAAGTCCCATTTTTGTTTCCAGATCTGAAAGCTGGTGACAATTTAGACATTTGGCTAGGCTTCTCAGTCCCTAAACCAGGAAGATGGTTTTTTGGACTCCTGCATAGAAAATGAATGATTAGCTGCCTGGTCTTAGCATGCTTCATTGCCAAGTCCTCTTATGACAGGAGAGACATCAGGAAGTGCTGCTTCTCCTTCTCTGACCTCAGGGTGAAGGCGTTACAGATGGAGTTAAGAGAGGGAGAGTGACAGTCCCCAAACCAGGAAAGAGAACACAGCATGTGCAACTGAAGCAACAGATAGTGCCGGGCAAAGTTCTGTTTTTTTTTTAAAACTGGATTTTGTTAGAGGTGAGCCTGCTGCCTCAGAGCCCATCAGAGCCATGAGACACTGTGGAAGCACCCAAGACTTTATCTATAAAATTGAGCCTTACCGAAGTATAAACTAAAAGTATATGAATCTTAGTCAGGAGGAGTAATTGCAATACAGGCAGTCCTCGACTTACAACGTTTTGAGTTACAACATTTCACACTTACAACATTTCTAAATTGACACCGTTTCAACTCTACGATGTCAAGTTTCAACTTTATGACGCTTGATCTGATGCGATGCCACACCAGCAAACAAGTCTGCTGTGGCACTCATCTCCCTGAGAACATCTGTCCAAACATCTTAGACACTTTCTTTAAGAAAGCAAGACAAGACTCCAGAAAAACCTGCAGCCAAGACTCCTGAGAAGACTCCAGACAAGAACCCTTCAAAAAGTCCAGCAAAGTCACCTCAAAGAAGTCCTTCCAAATCAATATGATTGCTATTTACAATATAAATACATTAATGTAGCTACGTTACTCATCTATAATTGACTGAGTACAAAATTCTGGAGTATTTTCGGTGAAAACAGGGTATTGGGCCTTGGTTCACCCATTTATAACATTGTTTCTTATGAGAAAATTGGTTCTGAGTTGCAACGTTTCAACGTAAGACGAGGTTTTCAGGAACCAATTGTGTCGTAAGTCTGAGGATTGCCTGTACTCATATCTAGCTTTACTACTGTTTTAAGGAGGTTGCTGTACTTTCTTGTGCCTACAAACAGAATTTTGAACACTGCTGCCTTTCATCCAAATACTAGATGTACTTACAAACAAGGAAACAAAAATGTTTAGTGGCCCAAAGACTTTTAGATTCTGAGGATGCATATGACAATATACTAAAGTGACAACAGATTACTTTATATTTGATTGTATTTAATTATGATATGCTAAATTAGAGCAATACTGCCCTTTTAAGACACTGGTTGTATGGTGTAAGGTGAGGACCAATGGACTGGTAGCAGATAGGCAAGTAGGCTCACTCGCACTCCTGTTGTAGAGATTTGCATGGCTTACCTCTCCTTTCTGCCTAGAAGGGTGCTCTCCTACCATTTCTGGTGGCATCAGAGAGTATCTTTTGAGGGTGTTCCTTTAGAACAGTGACTCTGCAACATTTTCAAATACTGTGCTACAGGCCAGTGTTAGGATCCAGCCATTGCTGCTGCTTCTCCTTGCTGCCCAGCTGTGGCACAGCTCAGATGAAGCTCCCTGCCACCAAGCCACCTGGCTGTGGTGTGCAGCAGTGAAACCCCCTGCTGCCAAAGGTCATGGACTTTGGATCCAACCTGTGAGTATAGGTTGCCAACCCCTATTTTAAAAGCCTTAATTGCCAGAGAAGGACCTCAGACACCTGCACTAATAAACTGGAGGCTATACCTTCTTAAGTTCTGGGAAAAGCTATTTACAATTGTGCTACACTCTACAGTTATTCTCCTCTACAGCTATCTCCAGACCAAAAATGTAGGGTAGGCAAAGGTATTCTACCTATGCATCAGAGAGCAAAGAGCTCTGAAGCTAAGCAAACAAATTCTTAATGCTAGAGTCATTTTTGATGAGCAAAATTGATAGTACAAGATAAAGTGTCTTAAGTATTTGCCATGCTCCTTTTTCAACTGCCCAAATACAAAACTGAACTTGGTATACCTGAAGATTGGGCACAGGTTCCAAGGTTGTCCACTATCACAATTATAAGAAGCCAAGATGCACAGGGTGCTACTACACATTTTATGCCCACATCTCTGGAGTGTTAAAAGCCATGAGAGCAGGCACCCAAACATGCACTGTTGTCAGAAGCTCCCTTTACTTAGGGAGGCACCCAGGTGATCTCTCTAACCACTGGTTCTCAACTTTTTCAAACTCAAGGCACCCTTCACAAAATGCCAGCTCTTAGTTTTCACTCATTTTTGACTACACAGAAATAACAGAGCAATTCTTCTGTAGCAAAAATACCTAATAGGTCAGAATGTTTTTAACTGATAAAAGCCCAGGCATAAATCTGCCGAAATTTCTGAAGTTACATTCATGTCAAGAGTAAACTTAGTCATGTTTATCCACGAAACACTGAAGTTTCCTTATGAGATGTAACTAAGTATTTGGGCACAATGGCAGCTTTAAAAAAAACCACAACATTAATTAGATAACTCATTGCATTTTATTTTGTAGTGCTGAAAATACCATACCTACAGTGTTCTGTATTATGGTTGGCAACGAACCAGAACTGCAACTATGGTT